GTTCCTCCTTCAAGCTCTCGATCGTCCATGAAAGTCGTAATTCCTTGGCACTTGGACAATTCATGGTGTAAATGGGATACAAAGCCCCTGCGGGTGTCTACACCCCTGAAACTCAAAAACACATCATACTTCCATAAAGAAGCTGATTCATTCAAAAGAAAAGATGCAGAGGCTCTTTGGGTGCTCAATGCCATAGGAAGAACAGTTGCTGCAAATTGGGTGCTGCACATATGAAACAGGAACTGAATGAACAAGTAAAAAGAATAGAAGATCCATGTTCTAAAATTCAAAAAAACAAAATTTGAAACTTCAAATGTATTTTTTTTGTATTTTTGATAATTTACAGATGCAATTTTTATACGTAATTACAGGGACTCACTCCGGTCAGATATTTGACCGTGTCAACACATATTTGACAATTTGATTTGATCTTACAGTCCAGGTAACTCAGTTTAAGTAGTTGATCATATTCAGTTACCGGAAAATGGATCCTGCAAACAAAAACAGTAGTCAATGAACAAGTAAAACAAAAACGAGCAGTGAAACGAAAATAGAAACTTTAAAGTTGTTTCAGTAATTGAAAACGTATATTAAGCAAAAGATACGAAGGACTCAGAAAAAAATATCAGAAAAACAAAATACATGATCAGCAGAGACTTACACAGGCAGAGAGAAGTGACAAATGGCAATGAAAGTAGCAGAACAATGACACTGAAAATTCCCACAACAAAGTCGTAGGAAGAGAGGAAATTGAGATAGAGGTAGGAAAGGAAATAAATTGAAGAGAGATGGACAGCTGTGCAATATAAATCTCCCTGGAAGAAGCAACAAGGAAATTTCCCCTGCAAGAACCGTCCACTTTCTAATATTCGTTCAAGAGAAAAAGCTAAAGGGAAGAAGATAACAGATAGTCTTATTTTTAATTAACTTTCAAGTTTTGATCACGCTAACCCTGACGCTTACTGTTGAATTTAGTGGCTCTGCCACATTCCGATTGGGCCGTTTGTTTTGACTCAAGCTCATTAGTTGGCTGTTAAAGCCACGCGATTGCCTTGTTCAAGGCAGCAAGCAGTCAAGATTATTTAGTGGGGTGTGCTATTCACATATCATTTTTACTTTTCACATATATTTTTTATTTTTAACTGTTAGATCGAATGAGTTGAAAAAGATCTAAGAACAGAAATTAATAAGGAGTTTGTGAGAAGTTAAAAGAGGTGTGTGGATATCACACCCCTTATTTAGGCCGCTAACTTTGAATTCGGATTGGATCTTTTTTGTGAGGATTTAGAATTTGTAAATTATGTTTGTTTATCGTATATCGTGTGATCATAAATTATTTTAAATAATTTTTATTTAAAATTAAATATAAATTTTACTTGACAAAATCTGATCGTATACATACAATAAACAGACAGAATTTACGGATTCCTATTATCCCCGAAAAAAATCCGGACAGGATCTTGGGCTAACTTTGACTCACGCTAGTTGATTGGCTGTTTAGCTCCATGTGAAAGCCACGTGATGCATATATTCAAGGCATGAATTCCTATTGGCCTTAAATCGTTTCAAATGGCCATGAATTCGTACTGGCATGAATTCTAAACAATTGGTAGTGGTCCCAGAAAAAAAAGCGAAGCCATAGCAAATGGCCACTTATCGTGGTGATAGAAAGGAGTTGAATTTTTACACAACGACGTGAGTTTGAATACCGTTAATGATTAATTTATTTTTGCAAATAATCCTTTACAACAATGATAAAAAAAATATTGAATTTTTGTATGACGATATGAATTCATGTTCTGTCGATAATTAATCTAATATTTAATTTAATAAAATTTCTCGTTAGACAGAAAAATGAAATGGTCAAACGATCTTTGTTTAATCGCTTAGGCCGATACTTACTGTTGGATTTAATAGCTCCATGTGAAAGCCGCGTGATGACTATGTAAAGGCAGCAAGCGGCAAGATTTTAAGACATTGGATGCTTTTCTTTTGATAGTAGTGGCGGTGGTGTCCTCAAGGTTTAGAGTGGGTTATAATGTCACATGGTGAATTACTCTTTTTTATGAAACAGGAACATCAAAATAATGGTGTAATTAATCTCTTACGTGTTATTATATCATAAAATTAAAATACGACGCAAAATTAGGATATATTTAAGACACACCGCTCTACCTCTTCGGTGCAATGTAAACTTCCCTAAAAGAAGCTACAAAGAAATTCCCATGCAAAAACTGTTCACTTCCCAATTCTTGTTCAAGAGAAAAAGCTGAAGGGAACATATTATGAAACCTTAATTTTTAGCAAGTCATTAATCACACGTCCTACCAAAGTGAAAGGACAAATTGTTTTATTTTTATTTTTTAATAAAGGATATTATATACACTAAGGGAGAAGAATGATGAGCTTAATCTTACAATATGTTAGTAATGATGTGGTTTAAATTCGTCTTTGATTAGAATCGAACCTAATAATTCTCACTTACAAATAAATATGAATATCACTAGATTGTAGTACTAATGTTGCAAGGACAAATTGTTTTCCACAAGAAAAAGGGTGGGAGACCGACTATGAGAAAATTTCCGGGAAGATTCCATGTTGGGACGTGTTATCTTTCTTCACCTTTTCTCTCCTCACCAAAGAGATTGGGTGCAATATTTCTAAGCAAGTTCCCAACTTTCTTCTAAGAAAATATTTCTTAGAAATATCAAGGAAATTCCCATGCAAGAGTTGTACACTTTCCAATATTTGTTAAAGAGAAAAAGCTGAAGGGAAACATATTATGAAACCTTAATTTATTAGCAAGCCATTAATCACATGTACTACCAAAGTGAAAGGACAAATTCTTTCTTCTAAGAAAAAATTTCATGTCTCTTTGTAACTTTTCTCATTGGGTGCAATATTTCATCCACTATGAAACTTTTCTCATCCTTTTTGGGACTGTTCTGCAGTGCCTGAGCGAGCAGGTTGAAGAACTCTTTGATCCAGTATAGCCCTAACTCAAGGGCTCATCAAATTTATTCCCAGTTAGGTGCAATTGATAAGTGTTTTCGATTGTGGTATGAAATCTGAAGCCCAAGTAGTATTTGAAATAAATTTAACCAAACTATTTTATGACATATTGAATCATCAAGAGCAGGATTCATGTACCCTTATACAGAACTTAAATACGAGTTTGTTTGCCTTTCAACATTTATTGAGAAATTTGGAAAAATAATCGAATAATATTTAAATTAGATGATCAAACCAAGAAAGTAAATCAAGGGAATCGGTGGTCGTCTTAAGCACTAACAATTTACTAGTTATAAAATTAAGGGAATCGGTCGTCGTTTGTCTGCGACTCAATACCAGAAGCTGAATTGTGTCATTATTTTAACAAAGTTGATTAACAATGCAATAAAAAAGAATAATTAACCATTGAGATCGATCCAAATCATGTATATTGACATGCAATGCATTAGGTGTTGGTAAAGGAGCCTTACACGTGTCCAGAGTTTTTGACATTTCTCGGTCGGCCATCTTGATGTTGATGACCTCTAACTAAAGCCAAACCTCAGTAGTTTTAAAAAGAGTGGACGGCTGAAGATAACACCGTGCATGATGCAGTTGCAGACGAATTAACTTCATTCTTTACAAGCAAGAGCAATAGTTGGAATAACTCAAATTTGATGGCTACATTCAGTTGGGTGAGGGTTAGGAGGAGGGTCCTCTACAATATTTCAGACTGAATATAATTTGTCACTTCTAACTTTCTAGATTCAAATCAACAATTATCGACAATTGTCGCAAGAGGTTGATCAACATTGCTCCTAGTCCTCAAGACCTACAACAAAAGTAAGCATGGAAGCATAAACAAGAGGTCTTCAAAGAACTTTTGTGTAATAAAACTTCTCAGTGGCATTTGATTGGTTTCTAAGGTAAAGTTTCACTTAATCGTTCATCTATTTTATCTTCTTTCGTCAACCGGTCATATCTGACCTATAGTTGGTAGCAATATGAAAAAAATATTTTGTCACTTCTAACTCTAGATTCTATTCAACATTTATCACAAGAGGCTGGTCAACACGGCTCTAGTCCTCAAGATCTACAGCAGAAGTAAGCAGGTAAGCAAAAGAAGAGGTCTTCAAAGAACTTTTGTGTGATAAAGCTTCTAGGTCGCATTTCATTGGTCTCTAAGACAAAGTTTCGCTTAATCGTTCATCGACTTTATTTTCTTTCTTCAATTGGTCATATCTGATTCGTAGCTAGTAGCGACATGAGGAAATATTTTGTCACTTTTGACTTTCTATATTCAATTCAACAGTTGTCATAAGACATTGTTGGTCTACATTGCCTCTAGTCCTCAAAGATCTAAATTGATGTTTACTGCTCTCTACTAAACCCCTCCATTGTATTTCCTTATTATTGTTATGATGTAGTGCAAATGCAGTATTCCTTGAGCCTTACTCTACCTTTAGAGTACTTTCGGACCTAATTTGACCAACTTAGAGCTAGGAAAACGGAATCGACCCTTTGAGCCTAAACATTAAAACATTGGCCCTACTTACGTGACAATTTCACTTAGAGTTAGGCTGCGACTCTTATCAAGGTTCGTTCATAAACACGATATGCAACATTGGATCTATATAACTCTCAATTCAATATTTACTTATCAGAAATGAGAAAATGAAGGAATAAAAGAACTTAAAAATATAAAAAAGTGAGGAAAGAGAATCGGATCAACTAGCCCCTCTAGTTGATGCTTCCTTACCTTCAGGTCTTTGATAACGAATTTAAAAGAAAACTACCATTCTTCCCATTTCTTACGAGTTAGTAAATACGAGAGAAGATTTAGATAATTACATTCGGCAGCTGCTAAATTACCTCAGAAATAGACAACCACTTCCAAAATCATTTTTGTCACTACTAATATAGTTTAGTGACAATTCTCTTCAATTTAATTCAAATCCTTCAATGTAAAACATTGTTGTAAATGGGCCGAGATCCATTTGCAACCCATATCTCCAAGTACCCGTTACCTTTCTTCCATTGGAATTTGCAGCCCATTTTCCCGCGATCCGGCATCTCCGATCTTCGTCGTTACGTTTTCATCTTCTTTTATCACCTTCCAAGTTCTAACAATGGCTTCCTGAATCCGATGCTGGAGCTCCATCGCCACAACCGTCAACCCCAAAGATCACATCATGAAGCTTGCTCCTTCCATCCTCTTCCTTTCTCTCAGCTTCTCCTCTTTTCTTAGTCCTGCCACTGCTAGAGGCGGCCTTCACAGTTCCTACCCTCCAGGTCCCCATCTCCTTATCTGTCATATATATATAGATATACATATTTGTATGCATTTTATATGTATGTGTGTGAATTTAGTTCTTTGGGAATTGGAAAACTGAGATTACAAGAACAAGTAGTAATTTGAAAAATTTTCCTTTGATTTCTCAGGTGCCAAACGGTAGTTAATTGTGATCAGATAGATTATCACGCCTGTTGCTTTCTTAAAATCTTTACAGTTAAGGTGGGTTAGCGCTACTAGAAAGGGAAACTAAATCTTTAAGCATCAAGAATTTGACCTGGAACGGGCTATTAAGGCGTTCAGCCAAAGATGCAGTAACATTTCTAGGGTTTACAGGTGATTACGTGGGCTTGTGCATTTTTAACATTTACCAGATTATAAGTTTACCACTCGTTAGTATATGAAATAAAACAATGGTATTTGTTAGTAGTAGTTTGATAGTTTGAGCTGGATAAGTGCAGGATTTTTACTGTAGAATTTTTGTTTGTGCATCTCATGATGATTATGCTGATTTAATCTCATGAATATTAATTTATCCAAATTGTATCCAAGCTGCTATTTGGTAAAAACTTTTGAATCCTGAAATTTTAATCCGTCCTATATACAATCAATTTTTTGGAACATGGCAGGATTTTTGAAGGAAAACGCAGTAGTGTCCCCCCTTCCTCTCTGTATATAATAACATAGAAATTATATTTGTTCCATAACCCCGAAAAAAGTTATTATTCAAAAGAACAGGAATCTGCTTTGACTCTGTCGAGATTAGCACAAATTAGTCCTTGCAGCTGGTTGAAACTGAATTTAACCATAGAGCTGTGTAATAAGGATGCAGACACCAGTATCTGAAATCTTTTTGCAACAATAACGCTGAATAAGGGTCAGAAACTTAAATATAGGAAGTTTACATTGATTGCCCATCAGTGGAAGTTAAAAAAGTGCGACACCTTTGAATCCAGAAGGGTGCAGTACCTATTTACCACCAATTTGAGTTGATTCTGGTATTGGAGAATATCCATCTGCAGTCTTTATAAAAGTTTTATTCATTCCGCTAGTTCAATTATGTTACTTGTCCTTGAGAAAGGACAGACTCTATCAATTGTATGTGTTTTGATGGCAGTTTTAGTCACAATTTTTTGTTACTTTTTCTCTGATCTTGTATGGAAACAAATGAAGGAAACTACTATGAGCCACTTATGACCACAAGAAACTTATAATGAAACTGAGAAGCTGTAGTATGAAAAAGATTATAACTTATTAGTACATGCCAAAAGATCGAAGTGTAGTATTTCGCGTTTACTGTTGAAAAATGAAGTCATGAATTTCACTTTTTGTGGAAAAAAGTTTTACATACTACCCGGATTTCAGTTTATTGAGTGTTTGTATAGGTGACAGTGTTTTACCTCATTGCTTTTATTTTCATCTTTTTGTTCCTGTTTTGACATATCTACTTTGCAATTGCAAATAAAACTATTTTCAGACTTGTTAACGGAAAAGAAGAAAACTATTTTCAGACTACTTCTGGAAGCTTCCTCAATTTGCTAGCCATTTGTGAATTTTTAACACTTTAATTGTGATGTGTAAAGGCTTGGTTGTTGTTGAAGGATTCACCCTACTTAATGGCGTCCTAGGATGCATACAGCCGACCCCACTTAGCGGGATAAGGTTTGGTTGTTGTTGTTGTTGTTTGATTGTGATGTGTGATTTTTAGTAGACTGTAGGAAATTTAAAGATGTGTTGCACTCAGTTTGATCCCCCAGTGTGCTTTAGAACTAGAAGAAACCATCATTTCATGAATGCTTGTGTCTTCTGTAAAATAAAATTGATATCGTGCCAAATTAATTGTAAATCTTAATAGTGTGGAGGAAAGAAATCCTTTCCGCAAGACATAAGCATCCATCTCTTCCTCTGACCATCTATGTATTTTTTTGTTTTAAATTTATTATTATTAGGGGGAGGGGGCAGATCTTTTGATTTCTTGCTTCAATTGGCATTTCAAGAATCCAAGTGTGATTATTCTTTGTTTGTGTTTAATCTATGTGGATGACATACTGCTCACAGGAAACAACACTTATCAAATGGCTCAGTTAATAAAGAGATAGGAAATGTGCATGGAGATGAACCTGTAGGCTGTGAGCTTCTAATTCTACTTGCAAATTGGATATGTCTAATTATTGTTCTGTAAGTAGTTGAACTACTCCATATATAGTCAATTGGTTTTATGGTGGAACCTTAATTTCTTCATAGTATTAGAGCAGGTTGTCCCACGTGTGAAGTCAAACGGTCAAACGGTCACATGCGCTCAATGTCACCCCGTTGTGTTATCCACGTGTTAGATTTGAAAATTCGTCACACGTAAAGGGGCGTGTTGAGAATGAGTCATACATTGATGGGAGGAAGAACCTTGCATGAACTAATAAGTAGTTAGGCTACTCTCTATATAGCCAATTGATTTTATGGTGAAATCCCAAATTCTTCATAAACAATTGTAATCCAAACCATTTGATGACATATTGAATCATCAAGAGCATGATTCATGTACCCTTATGTGTACAGAAACTTGATAGGATTGACTTGTTCTCAGCACAATTCACAAACACAATGCATAATGATGATCCTTGTTTAACAACCACACATTGTTTAACCAATTCTCTCTCGATATGTTCCTCAAAAAATCTAATTCATGCCATTCCTGTCTATTTATCCTATATGTTCCTGTTCCATTCTTCCAAGTGAATCAGCACTTCTGCAATATTACCTCTCGACTAGTTTGTTTGCCTTCCAACATTTATTTGGAAATTTGGATAATAACCAAATAATCTTTAAATTACATGATTAAACCAAGAAAGTAAACAAATGAGCTTATTTTTATCTACACCTTCGATTTTAATCTCATTTTATTCCCTGTAACTCAAAAATCGCCACCTCACTCCCTTAGATTCATAGTTTGCTCTATTTTGCCCCTTGCAAACTTGATTTTTATCCCCTGAAACTCGACATAAGAAGTTGGTCAACATTGCCTCTAGTCCTCATGACCAAAATTGATGTTCACTGCGCCACAAGGCTCTCACCTAAACACCTCCATTGTATTTCCTGATTATTGTTATAATGTTGTCAACACGATGTATTCCTTGAGCCTTACTTTACCTTCAGAGTACTTTCATACCTAGTTGGACCAACCGAGAAAACGAAATAGACCCTTCGGTGAGCTTATGCATGAAAACATTGGAACTACACATGTGACAATTTCACTCATGATTAAGTTGTGACTCCTACCAAGACTCGTTCATAAACATGATTTGCAATATTGGATCCATATAACTCTTAATTCAATGTTTACTTATCTTAAATGAGAAAATAAAGGAATGAAATAACTTTTTGAGGACATCGATATATTTTTACACTAAGGAGAGGGGAAGTTCAACTAAACACAATGAGTAACCTAATTTGGTATGGAATTTGATTCGCCATCCACGAGATTTGAACCTAAGACCTCTCACTTCCAAGTGAAGAGGAATACCACCAGACCGTAGTACCGAATGACAAGGAATGAAATAACTTAGAAATATGAAAAGTAAGAAAAGAGAACCAGATCAAATGGCCCCCTACTTGATATGCTTCCTAATTTTTGGGTATTTTAAATGAAAAATTATTTTTTCAATTTCTTGCAGATTAGTAAATACAGGAGAAAATTTATATAAATTACATTTGGCATCTGGTAAATCCACTCTGAAATAGACAACTACTTCCAAAATCAATTTTCACTACTAATATAGTTAGTGACATTTCTACTCAATTTAATTCAAACCCTATAATGTAAAATATTGTTGTATCGGTTCGAACGGTTCATCCGGTTAGGTTTGTAGGCTTATTTAGGCCCAAACAAAAGTTGTTTAACAAATGGGCTGAGATCCATTTGCAACCCATACCACGAAGTCCCCGTTTCTTTGTTCCGATTGGAAATTGCAGCCCATTTTCCGGCGATCCAGCATCTCCGATCTTCGTCTTTACGTTTTCATCTTCCTTAACTCCTTCCGAGTTCCAACAATGGCTTCCTGAATCCAGCTCCATCGTCTCCATAGTCAACCTCAAAGATCCCAGAATGGAGCTTGCTCTTTCCATCCTCTTCCTTTCTCTCAACTTCTCCTCTTTTCTTCGTCCTGCTACTGCTAGAGGCGGCCTTCATACTTCCTACCCTCCAGGTCCCCATCTTCTCATCTGTGCTATATATATATATATGTATATTAGTATGCATTTTATATTATGTGTTCATTTAGTTTCTTGGTTGTTTTTGGAAGTTGAAAAACTGAGATTACAAGAACCGGAAGTAAATTAAAATATTGTAGTATTTAGTACTTACCAAGCAAAGAGCGATTGCATTAGTGCTTGTCAGCTTGTACTCTGGAGACTTTTAGGAAGAAAGGTTTTTGTAAATTGATTCATCCACATTCATTTTTTTCGCTCATCCAAATTGTTTAACTCAAAAGATACATAGTGTTCATAGGTTTTAATGCTAATGGATTCCTTGATTCGGATGCGGAGAAATTAGTTATTACCAATTCTTTTGTTGTTCACAGGTTGCCCTTTTTGCAAATTATCCATAAAAGTTCTGCACTGAACCATGCTGATTGATAGCTTGATACTAGGGTCTTACTTTCATTCATGGAAAAAGCAAACGATTTGTTTGTTGAACATTTGTCCAGAATAATTTCATTCATTTCCATTAGACTTCTTCCGGCTGTACGTTGGCTTCAGTGTGAGTGTACGTTTTGATCATTATTCAATTTTACCTATGATGCCCAATGTGTTCAGGTTTCTAAATGTTTCTGTTATAGTGTGAAACAAGCATGGTGATGTCAATAGTAGGTCTTAAAGTGTTACTCTAATGTTATGAACATTGCCAATTACTTCTAATATGATTATGGATTTTCGGATGGTGCCTAACAATTATCCCAGAATTTATGCCAACGCTTATTCATTTTTATTTTGCACATATGCTCTTGTCTTTTGATCGAAATTAAATTACAGGAAAGATTATTTGCATGTCCAGACGACGAGACATTCCGGTTCTTACCAAGTGTATATAGTCACTCTCACCACAATATGTCATTGCGCAAGGAATTTGAGGGAGGGATTACGAATCGAGCTTTCTGGTATGATGGCTTGAAACATTACAACTTATTATAGGTATATTTTCCTTCTGTTTGATATTCATCTATTGTTTCTTAAGACACCTGTTGTAGGTACCCTATATATGGAGGCATGCAAGATTGGAACTACAAAAATGGTGGCTGTTTTGAATTGACTTTGGAGATTAGTGATAACAAATGGCCTACTGCTAACGAGGTCAGGCATCAGTTAGGGCGAGTGTGTGCAACCTTTAAATATAAAACGACATTCTTTAGCCAAGTTTATCATGTATATGGGGATACGGTTGCGCCCTTGGTGTAGCTATAGGTCCAATGGACCTCAGGGGGGGTGGGGACGGAACTTTGCATGGTACTAGCTGTTCATATTGTGAATGGCAATATAAAACCACGAATTGTCAATCCATAGTTTGCCTTGCCTTAATTTTTGCATATTGTGAATGGCAATATAAAAGTATTTAAGGATACAGAGAATGCCTGATCCATCCAAAATTTATATAACATATCTAATGTAGCTCTTTAGTGTTATACCCTACTTTTCTTTGTAATTTATGGCAATTTTAGGTTACTTCATTCTTAGATTTTGGTCTTTTCCTGTGTTGAACGTTTTCCCTCATTGCCCTTATTTTATCTCATCTTACTAATCTATGTGGATGATAAACTGAGGCTTCTGTATATGCTTGGGTAAAAACTTAATCTCGTGGAGTTCGAAGAAACAAAAAACAGTTTCCAGGTCTAGCACTGAAGCTGAATATCGGCAGCTTGCATACACTGCCGCTGAGTTGCCTTGGTTATGTTCGTTGTTTAGGGACGTACATTAGAATCTCCTAAGATAACAGATTTGGTGTGATAATTTGTCTTCCATTGCCTTAGCATCCAATCCAGTTTTCCACTCAAGAACCAAGCACTTAGAAGTTGATTATCATTATGTCAGGGAGAAGGTGATTAGAGGTGAGTTACCATCTGTCAGCTTGCCGGGGGATGTTAGACCAAGTCAGACTTCTAGTTTCCAGTCATACTCTCAGGTTTGTTATCTGTGTGATTCATCCTTATCTCAACTGAAGTTTAAATTTCATAAACTACCGTGTAAATAGGGTTTTGAAAGGGTACGCAAATTCAGCTGAAAACCTACCGTTCTAAGTTTTACAACTTTTTGTCCAAAGATGTCAGGAAAAATACTCTCAATGCTTAGTTTTTGCATCACCAAAGCCAAGTTTTAATCAAACCAAAGTGGTTGAGCAAAAAGTGTTGTTTCCTTAGCAACGTTTCTGTTTCTGGACTACAAGTTTGCATTGGTTACAAAATCAGACAGAAACAAATCAATTTCTGCCAGAGTACAGAAGTTTGAATTCAACCCCTGGTTTACATGTTAATGCTAATGGCGTCTTCAGAAAATGAACCTTAAGATCTCGACTGACAGAGCAGCCCCCATGGCGTTGCGAGTTTCCAAGGTACCCACTTGTTGCATTAGGCAAGATGATCAGATTGTTAGTCAATCTTCTTAATGCCCAAGTAATCTGCAAAAGTGTTTATACATCAACATTCTTATCCACTCTGCCCTTTCAGTGAATAAAGCCATCTTAATATATAGCCCGAGATATCGATTACATTGACTAAGATGTCGAAACAAAAAATAATTTTGATGACAATTATGCTGATGTGATGAATCGATGGTTACTTACTTGCATTTTTTGTGACATGGTGACTAGTTACAACGCCTTTTGCAAATTTGTTTTGTGTCGTTGAAACTAGCACTTCCGGGTCCACTTGGAGCTGCCTCGTCACGATATTCGCATGTTCGTTTCAGTAGTTTTTGGTTGAGTTCTTTCAAATCTTGCTCGTACACCAAACGAGCCCCACACTTCTTCACCATATTCAAGTTTGCTTTTAGTTCTCTCCAACCAATATTAAGAAAGTCAATTCCGAATAAAAACTGTACTTGATGACAATCTGCACGAGGCAAACAATATTGACGAGGAAAATAAAATAACCAAAGGTTTTCTGACACAAGAGACGGTAATAATAAGGTAGTCCAAGGGTATTCTGGGTCAAGTCTTTCAGGGCTAACAAGTTCCACTGGACAGTGAATTCTGAGACGACAATAAGGAAGCTCCACATTTTGTAAAGGGTCTTGGTATTGAAAAACAACACACAAGGCAATCCCAAGCCAGTTGGTACATGATGGTGGAGGAAGCTCCACATTTATTGAATGTCCCACACTCTGATTATTGAACCACTTTGGAATTTCACTTCCAGGGATTACAATTTTCGATCCCTGTAGCAGAAGAAAGATCAATTATTTAGAGAGAGAGAGAGAGAGAGAGAGAGAGAGAGAGAGAGAGAGAGAGAGAGAGAGAGAGAGAGAGTACCTGAATGACAGATTTCAGAAACCTATTGATCAAGTCTTCATCTGGAACCAATGCAATGCAATTCCGGCAAGTGACACTAGCAAAATACAAATTGAATGCACCTGACAAACTTCGTAAGGAAGTGCAATTGTCCAGATCTACCGTTAATCCTCTGTTTGATGGAAGAGGTGGCAATTTTTGAAGGCTTTTACACCCCTCCAGATGAAGATCCCTAAGCTTAGAAAGGTGTCTAATGCTTTCAGGTAGACTGAGGAAATTATTTCTGCAGAGATACAATGTTTCCAATAAGGTCAAGGAGCCAATATCATCGGGGATATCCCCCTCCTGGAGATTACAATCATCTAGACATAAGTATGTCAAAGAGCATAAACGATTTAGAGAAGACAACACCAAATGCCAACAAAGAGGAGGATCAGGGGGACTCTTTTCAAGTCCAAATAAGCGGCGAAGGCCCCACCCATCCCTTGCTGTACCATTTGATCCATAAGTGGCTTTAACATTATTCATCCAAACCATGTCATAATTTCTCGTAAATATTAGACCTTTGAGATTTTTCATACCCACAAACGGCTTTGTCATAGTGGGTCCCACTGTAAGCCACGATAAGTGATCCATGTCTTCTGGGAGTTTGTCAATCTTTGAGCATCCAATCACATTGAGATGGTAAAGAGACTTCAAATTACAAATAGCCCTTGGAAGGTACAAGAGATTTTTGCATTTCCGTAGAAACAAATAACTAAGGCCAACCGCATGTCCAATTGATGAAGGTATTTTCTCGATCGCAGTGTTGTCTAACGTGAGCGAGGATAAATTCTTCATCTGCTCCCCAAATTCTGGAACCGTTTTCACATTTGAGCAGCCACCAAGATTGAAATCTACAAGAGAATCCATTTCAACCTTACTTGGGAGGCTCTTAATGCTTTCACAGCCATCAAGTTGCAAAACTTTAAGTCTTTTGAGGACTGCAATAGACGGATGTATCTCAACTAAATTCTTACAAGCGGAAAGCTCCAAATTCTCAAGATTTGGAAGACCATTGAAATCTGGGGTATTCTTCAATTTATTGGAGCATCTAAGATCAATATGTTTCAAGTTGGGCAAGTCCTGTACAACACCACCGATAAGGTTCAGATCATATACTTAGCTTCCACAACCTTAAAGTTTATTCAAAATAATAAATAAATAAATATATGATTATTTTGTAAATTAAATAGCATTTATTCTCAATGAATATGGAAGAAATTTGGAACCTTTGGGATTGTACAATAAAAAAATGTCACGGGTTCCTTGTTTTTAAAACTCAAAAAAAATTAAATAACATGTCTATTATATTTTAAAATAATGTGTTAAAATATCATTGGACAAACTCAAAAGGTGAGTATTGACTTGAGTAACCAATATTATCTTTTGTTCATAACTACTCTTACCACTTTTCCCCCCAAAAAACGAACAAGATTGCTATTACGCATCTCAAGTTTACCAAGCAAGTGCGGGCGAAAGCTTGTTGGAAGAAAATTAGAAGGATACCAACTCCAATTTATAATTCTCAAGGAACATGGAAGAGATTTTGGGCCTGAAGAAAAGATCAAATTATTGAATTCCAAAAACCTCAGTCTCTCCATCTTAGAGAAGGCTTCACAATTCCACTGGGGCACCTCTTCTACGTTGGACAAGCGTAAGGATATGGCTTCAATTGCTGCCGTTCCCTAAAAATTAAGAAAAAAAGGACAAATTAATTTCACATTCAAGTCTAATATAATGTCAAAAGAAATCAATATCTTCTTCCAAACTTGGTATTTAACTTCTTACCTTATTCTTCCTAAATATCTGATCGATGTCATCGTAAAGCCACAACCTACTGCGCTGACCAGGCTCTTTAGACTCTTGACGAACAATTTCACGTGCCATATCTTGTATCAAGTCATGCATCCATATATATTCGTTGCGATCACTGCGATTGTTGCGATCTTGATAGAGGAGAGATCTCTCAATTAGTACATCTATCATAGTACTACTAGAAATTCCAAAAGAAATATCTAGTATTTCAATTACTTCCATTCTGTACTTCCCTTTGTGGAGACATGCAACCTCAAGAAAAATGCTCTTCTCCATCTCTTCTAGTTCATCATAACTTATTTTAAGTTTATGAATAATTTCTGTATTAGGAATTTTTGACAGATTATCCCGTGTACTATTCCAAAAATCTAGCCCTCTCTTAAACAATGCCGACCCAAAAGTTTTAAGAGCTAATGGAAGGCCTCCAGCATATTTAATGAAACACTTAGACAGTTCCAAAAACCCATCCTCGGGCATATTTTTCTTAAAGGCATGCAGGCTAAACAGTGCAAGAGCCTCATCATCATTTAACACCTCAACATTATGACATAATGTTATGCCATGCTCGACTAGCAGACGTTCATTTCTAGTTGTAATGATAATTCTGCTTCCCATGCCAAACCAATCTTCTTTTCCAGCTAGTACTTGTAGTTGGTTTATGTGATCCACATCATCAAGTACAAGAAGAACCTTTTTGTTGTGTAAGCACTTCTTAATGAAAATGATTCCGTGCTCTTCATCCCAAATTTCTTCGATCTTTTCCCTCAACACCGGGAAAAGAAGTCTTTTTTGAAGATCAACGTTAGAAACCTCTCTAACGTTGCCGAGAAAGCAGTGAACTTCAAAATGATGGAAGATTCTATCATAAACAAGCTTAGCAAGGGTTGTCTTACCAATGCCACCCATCCCCGTTATCCCTATAAAGCGAACATCATTGACATCATGAGCTAACAACGAACTTAGTTGCTCAAGCCCAAAATTAACCCCAACCAACTCCTGTGGGGAATCTAACAATGGGAATGTAGCTTGCAGTTTCCTCCACACACTTTTGACGAGTTGTTGTATAATCTCACTTTCACTCCTACATGGTATGAAATAACCAATCAAAAAAAACATAAATGAAGCATCCAATTTTGACTCTACTAAGACATGGGAAATTAAAGTTGTTCATGCATACTTACTTAGATTCCTTCGAGTGCCAACCACAAATTTTGGACACTTTTTTTAGATCAGCTTTCCATTGGACCACCTTCTCTTTATCTTCGGTACTGCTCGAATTTTGTTCATGCTTCGTAAAGGCTTCGGCAAAACATCCCCGTTGATTTCCGACGTCAGATGGATCTGTCTGATAAAAGACCGGCAGAACTGAGTTCCTGGATTCCATGCATCGAAGAATGGTTGTAAGTTCGTCCAAGCACCATTTGGAAGAAGCATAGTTCGGTGAGAGAACAACAATTGCAATATGCGATTCTTTGATCGCACTTGGGAGCTCAAGATGAATACTTGTTCCTCCTTCAAGCTCTCGATCGTCCATGAAAGTCGTAATTCCTTGGCACTTGGACAATTCATGGTGTAAATGGGATACAAAGCCCTTGCGGGTGTCTACACCCCTGAAACTCAAAAACACGTCATACTTCCATCGAGGAGCTGATTCATTCGAAAGAAAAGATGCAGAGGCTGTTTGGGTGCTTAACGCCATTGAAAAAAGGCAGTTGATGTAAATCGGTACTGCAAACATGAAACAATAATTGAATGAACAAGTAAAAAGATAGAAGATCAAAGTTTTAAAATTTAAAAAAAAAAATTGAAACTTTAAATCTTCTTTTGGTAATTTACAATATGCAATTTTTATTAGTAACTACAAGAACTTACTGCGGTTAGATATTTGACTCCGTGTCAACACATATTTGATAATTTGATTTCATCTTAAGTCCCTGATAACTCAGTTTAAGCCGTTGAATCTCATTCAATTACCGGAAGAGGGGTTCTGCAAACAAAAACAGTAGTCAATGAACAAGTACAACAAAAATGAGCAGTGAAATGAAAATAGGAACTTTAAATCTTGTTTTGGTAATTGAAAATGTATATTAAGCAAATGAGATTAAGGACTCAGAGAAACCAGAAAAACAAAATACGGGATCAACACAAAATTACACAGGCAGAGAAAAGTGACAATGGCAAAGAAAGAAGAAGAAAAATCACACCGAAAATTCTAACAGAAAAGTTGTAGCAAGAGAGGAAATTGAGAGAGGAGGAAAGGAAACAAATGGGAAAGAGATGGACAGCCGAGTACTACTTCTACTGGTAGTGGTGGTGGGGACCACACGGTTTAGTGTTGGTGATAGACTGATAGTGGCAGATGGTGAATTGTTTCGTCAAGTTAGTTAGTATACGACTGTTTACCTAAGTAGAAGTAAAAGGTGGAATAGTAACTATGAGAAATTATCAGGAAGCTTCCTTGGACGTGTTATGTTTCTTTACCTTTTCTCACAAAAGCGATTGAATGCAAGCCTTCTTTCTCTGTAAGTTCCCAGCATTCTTATCAGAATATATACATATATATATATATATTCATGTCTCTTTGATATGTACCATTAATTCGTTTGTTACCAATGTAAAAAGGTGAAGAATTAAAGCTGAGGTTTGATGTAACCATATATGGGTATGAGAAAACTTTCGGTTTGGTTAATTTCAATTTCAGGTTTTGGTCATACTAACCAACAGTTAATCGATCTTTGTTTGATCGTTTTGGCCAATGGTCGTTATTTCTAATCGAAAAGGCTAAACATAGTTCCGTCCAGAATTATAGCATGCAAAAATTTATTTTTAAATAAATAATATCATGTCATATTCATATACTATCTTCAACTAAATAATAATTCCACAATAATTTATTAGTTTTAAGTTTAAATTTATTGGTTAATTTAGTTAAACTACTGTTAGATGTCTTCAAATCTAATTAAACTAAGAGGAGGGGCTACATTTGACTAGCATGATGCCCTTTGGCCAAATTATAGCTTGATGAGCTCTGTAAAATTATAGTCTGGCCATCGGTTAGATATGAGTTTTTGGCAAATCATGTCTTTTTTTCTTTTAAACATTTAGCCTTCTCCATTAGAGATGACTTACTATTGGATTTTGTGGGTCTGGCTCATTCCGGTTGGGCCCATTATTTTTACTCAAGCCAATTGATTGGCTGTTGTCACTTAATATTATAGTTTAGTGATATTCTTCTTTACTTGTAAGTGTGAGGTTTTATGTTCTATTCTTGCAAAAAACGAATTTTGAACCATATTATTGCTAACCTATTGTGAGGTTTAGTCTATTTTTCTCAATTCTTAAAATAAATAATATTGTTTGTCAAAAAAAAAAAAATTGATTGGCTGTTTTAATAGCTCAATGTGAATGCCACGTGATGACTATGTTAAAAGGCAGCAAGCAGCCAATAATACAAGGAGTTGGATTGTCTGTCCTTCCATTTTCATACTTTTCGCATGTCTTCCTGTTTGTGTGATCACGATTAAGTCACGTCAATATTTTATATTTTTATTATTTTTTGTTTATTATTTTTATAAAAAATTAATATAAAATATTAACGTAGCTTAACCATAATCACACATCGTAAGACATGATGAATATATAGAAATGGAATAGCAGACAATCCACCTACATAATACAAGGCACTGGATGCTTTTCTTTTGGTTCCCATCAGCAAAAGAGAAAATGAAAGGCAGCCTAAGCCTTTCTCGTTTCTGAAAAAAAACAGAGAAAGACAGCCCGAGTGCTTCCAGTGGTAGTAGGGGTGTTGGCGACAACACGGTTTAGTGTGGGTCATAGTGTTAGATTGTGATTTTTTATTTTTTTTTTTGACAAAGAAAAGTTAATATGATCGTTTACCTGAAGTAGGAGCAAAAGATTAAAATATTTAGGATGGTTTATAGTTTGATACTAGTAATAGTGACCGCGCGTTGCCGCGTGTTTAAAAAATGTATAAAATATATGTGCATTCATATTAGGTGTATTATTTACAATTGTATTTATACACATAATAATTTGTACCTGAAAGTTATATTGACTGTCGCTTCCCAATTTTTTTGTTTTATTTGTGATGATGTACATGCTTCTGTGTTATGATTTGAGAAAATAGAAGCTGTTAGTACAAATAAATAAGAATGTTAAAGAAGAAGAACGATTTTTATAATTGGTAAAGAAATTGGGTAATTTTTGCAGTTTTTAAATAAATTTAATAATATACTACAAAGAAAACTGCAAGGTACCTATTATTTTGATCAGCAATCTTCTCCAAATAGTAACACTGGATGATGGCATAAACTGTCATAGCCTTCAAAAATGACAATTGGCAAAAACCTGTTTATATCGGAGATAAAATTTTAATGACATTCACAGGATAAAACCTGTTACTATTGTTCTAATATTATTGTAAAAAAAAAAAAAAAAAAAAAAGAAAGAAGAAAAAGCATTGATTGCTTTCTTTGTAAATTGAATTTACATACCATATGAGAGGTTAATCTAGCTTTGATCCAGATTTGTAGTACATGCTGAAGTTCTCAATGATTGACGGTGATGGTATACAGTTGATTGACTCGTTTCAGATGAAGACAACTGTGAACATTTCTGACCCAAAAGCTGTTGTGGAGTTTGTTAGAGAATTAGGCAATATATGTAAAAACTGAGAATTGTTCCAAGCGATGAACCATGGATATAAAGGAGTTTTATTTTATAGTGGAAAACAACATAAAACAATAAAAGAAAATCTTTACAAATTCGTTTGAATTTCCTATACCATATGTTACTGGGTTTTCAATTTTACACACCAATGTGCCTATCTTATTTGCAGCACGAAACCAACATTAACATATAACAAAAGGTTGAGTGTTTACCTGCCAATGTAGCAATAGGAACGAACACTATAGCTCCAATTCAAAGGTCAAACCTTTCTGCAAATAAACCACTCTACGTTTCACCAATTTATTCCATCTCAACACGAAAACTAAGCAAACACAAACCCACATTACACAATTAACATTTAAAAGAAAATGGAGCTTGTCTTCTTGGAAATTTAAGCACCAATGCATAAAATTGTCCACTAATTCTTAGTTCTTCTATGCATTGTGGGATCATATGCTAACTTGCAATTGACGTTATAATTTGTGAATTTTATGTAAACGACCCTTAAGTTTATATCTTGACAGTTAAGACGTAAGAAAAGCTAAAATATATTTACTCTGATTGATCAAATTACTTAGTCTAATTCCCAAAATATGTAATGTACAACATGGTCATCTTTACACATGTATTATGGAACAAACCAAAACTTACACAGGCAGAGAAAGGTGACAATGGCAAAGAACGAAGCAGAAAAATCACACTGAAAATTCTCATAGAAAAGTTGTAGCAAAAGAGGAAATTGAGAGAGGAGGAAAGGCAAACAAATGGGAAAGAGATGGACAGCCGAGTACTACTTCTACTGGTAGTGGTGGTGGGGACCACACGGTCTAGTCTTGGTGATAGACTGATAGTAGCAGATGGTAAATTATTTCGTCAAGTTAGTATGACTGTTTACCTAAGTAGGAGTAAAAGAAGGGTGACTTATGGTTACATTTGGAGTATCTCATACTTTATTGTAAATTATTTAACAGTTAAATGAGCTGAGCCATACCTTCCTTTAATCAAATTAAATTACAAGTCCACTGCATGAAACCGCTCACATTGGTTTCATTTGACTGATTTGAATGTTTCACCACATAGCTTGTAAAATAAAAAAAAATGTTTCATAAAGATAAACTTCGATTAAAAGGAAGAATAAATACTAATTTAGTGAGAACGTCAGCGATCAAACATTGTCATCTAGTATTGAGCCAAAGATAAGTTGGAAGGACCTAGCAAGCAGCTCCATCACCATCAGCCAACATTTCTGATCAACACCATCACACAAGCCATCAAGTAACAAAACAAATTAAACTCTCAACAGTAAACGTTATATATGGGAAATAAAGAATGAATTATATGAAAACAAAACGCTAAGACAGTGATGTAATCAATCTATTATGTGTTGTCATACTACAAAGTTAAAACCGATGTGAGGTGGCAATATATAGAGAGCAACACCGCTATAATGATTCTGTGCAATGTAAATCTCCCTCAAAGAAGCAACAAAGAAATTCCCATGCAAGAGCTATCCAGTTTCCAATACTTGTTAAAGAGGAAAAGCTGAAGGATAAACATTAGACGGATGTACTGCCAAAGTGAAAGGACAAGGATTTTCCAGAAAAGAAAAAGGTGGAATACTAACTATGAGAAGTTATCAGGAAGCTTCCTTGTGGGGACGTGTTATGTTTCTTTACCTTTTCTCACCCAAAGCGATTGGATGCAAGACTTTTGACTTCTCTGTGAGTTCCCAGCTTTCTTATCAGAATACATATTCATGTCTCTTTGATTCTGTGCCGTTAATTCGTTTGTTACCAGTGTAAAAAGGTCAAGAATTAAAGCTGACGTTTGATGTAACCATATATGGGAATGAGAAAACTTTCAGTTTGGTTAATTACAATTTCAGGTTTTGGTCATACTAAGCAACAGTTAATCGATCTTTGTTTGATCGTTTTGGCTAATAGCATGTAAAAATTTATTTTTAAATAAATAATATCATGTCATATTCGTATAATATCTTCAACTAAATAATAGCCCTACAATCATTTATTAGTTTTAAGTTTAAATTTATTGATTAATTTAGTTAAACTACTGTTAGATGTCTTCAAATCTAATTAAACTAAGAGGGGGGCTACATTTGACTAGCATGATGCCCCTTGACCAAATTATAGCCTGGTGGGCTTCGTAGAATTATAGTCTGGTCATCGGTTAGATATGGATTTTTGACAAATAATGTCTTTTTTTGCTTTTAGACCTTTAGCCTTCTCCATTAGAGATGACTTACTATTGGATTTAGTGGGTCTGGCTCCTTCTGATTGGGCCCTTTATTTTTACTCAAGCCAATTGATTGGTTGTTGCCATTTAATACTACGGTTTAGTGATATTCCTCTTTACTTATAAGTGAGAGGTTTTATGTTCGTTTCTTGCAAAAAATGAATTTTAAACCACATTATTGCTAATCAATTGTGAAGCTTAGTCCATTTTCCTCAGCTCTTAGTATAAATAATATCGTTTGTCAAAAAAATAAAATTGATTGGCTGTTTTAATAGCTCAATGTGAAAGCCATTTGATGACTATGTTAAAAGGTAGTAAGCAGCCAATAGTACGAGAAATTTTTCAGTGTGATCGGAATACGGGATGATACACTACGTGTCATTATACAAATAGTGAGATATGTGTGTTAAAAAGTTAATAACTTTAAAAATAAAATTTTCCACCACTTATATAAAAATATGTGATATACCATTCGTGTTCCGATCATAATGAAAAAAAAATCCAATAGTACAAGGCATTGGATGCTTTTCTTTTGGTTCCCATCAGCAAAAGAGAAAATGTAGGAGGTGGATTGTTTGCCCTCCCATTTCCATACTCTCTCCATGCCCTCCTGTTTGTGTGGTCACGGTTAAGCCACATCAACATTTTATATTCCTATTACTTTTTGTTTCATTATTTCTATAAAAAAAATTAATATAAAATGTTGACGTGGCTTAACCGTGACTATATATCACAGGAGGACATGAAAAAAGTATGAAAATGAAAGGCAGACAATCCACCTCCGAAAATGTAAGCCTTTCTTGTTTCTGAAAAACAGAGAAAGACAGCCCAGGTACTTCTATTGGTAGTAGGGGTGTTGGTGACAACACGGTTTAGTGTGGGTCATAGTGTTAGATTGTGAATTATTATTGAGAGACTTTAGATGCGGTCCCTAACTATGAATATTCTTTGACTGAAACCTTGTTGATTTTCAATTTTTGATCTAAGTCCCTGAAATTAATGTGATAATTTATTTATATGTACGTTAAAATATTTTTTAAATTAAAAATTGAAATTCATAGTTGTTTATATTAATGAGATTTTAAATTAAAAAACCATAATTTGTGGGATTAAAAATATTAAAATATAAATATACTATTGTGTGTGTGTGTGTCTATATATATATAAGCATTGGTACCTTCATCAAAATTAATAACAAAATTATTGTATCAAAACATGGGTACATTCTTCAAAATCACAAAAAAAAAAAAAAAAAAAAGATATTAGGCTTAATAAAATTAGTAAATTTCTTCGATTAAACTTAACATGGATATATTCTCAAATCAAAGAAAAAAGAATGTACCCATATAAATTTAAAAATGGATTCGAAAAAAAAATTGAATAGATTATATATATATATATAAGGGTACATTTTACATATAACAAATTGGTATATTTAAGAATGTCACATCCCAGCCCGGGTGGCACCACTTCCCGGGCCCGCTCCACCACCGTAGCACGATATTGTCCGCTTTGGGCCCCGACCACGCCCTCACGGTTTTGTTTCTGGAAACTCACACGAGAACTTCCCGATGGGTCACCCATCCTGGGAGTGCTCTCGCGCGCTACTCGCTTAACTTCGGAGTTCCTATGGAACCCGAAGCCAGTGAGCTCCCAAAAGGCCTCGTGCTAGGCAGGATGGGAATATACATTTAAGGATCAGTCCCCTGGGCGATGTGGGATGTTACAATCCACCCCCCTTAGGGGCCCGACGTCCTCGTCGGCACACACGCGGCCAGGGTTAGGCTCTGATACTAATGTCACGTCCCAGCCCGGGTGGCACCACTTCCCGGGCCCGCTCCACCACCGTAGCACGATATTGTCCGCTTTGGGCCCCGACCACGCCCTCACGGTTTTGTTTCTGGGACCTCACACGAGAACTTCCCGATTAGTCACCCATCCTGGGAGTACTCTCGCGCTCTACTCGTTTAACTTCGGAGTTCCTATGGAACCCGAAGCCAGTGAGCTCCCAAAAGGCCTTGTGCTAGGTAGGATGGGAATATACATTTAAGGATCAGTCCCCTGGGCGATGTGGGATGTTACAAAGAATGAGTACATTTTAAGATTAAAATTTTGAAAAAAATTACATGAATGGTACATATAATTAGCATAGGTACATTTAGCAAAATTAAAAATGGGTACAAATAAATAAAAAAATATGGGTACAAATACAAATAAAATTTTATAAAATATGGGCACAAAAAGAAATTAATATATGGGTACAAATTAAAACTGAAAAGAAAATTGGTACAAATTAAAACTGAAAAGAAAATTGGTACAAATTAAAAAAGGGTTGCAAATTAAAAGTGGGTACAAACTAAAACTAAAAATATATGATAAAAAATTTAACCATAAATATAAATATACTAATTGTAACATTTTTAACATTAAATGAATATATTTTGAAATAAAAAATATTTAATTGCTGAAATAATTAATGATGCTATTAATATCAAGGACGTTGATCAAAAAATGAAAATGAATAAGGTTTTAATCAAAGGAATAGCAAAAGGAAGGATGTGAATCTAATTTCTCCATTATTTTTTTGACAAAAAAAAAAAAAAAGTTAATATCATCGTTTACCTGAAGTAGGAGCAAAAGAACAAAAAATTTATGGTGGTCTATAGTAAGGTATACTGTTATAACCGTTATATTTTGATATTTATATTTTTAAATAAAACTTTAATTTTTTATGTGAAACGGAAACATGAAAATAATGGTGTGATTAATTTATTACGTGTTATCATGTCACAAAATTAAAATATAACGTGAAGTGAGGATAAATTTGAGCCACGCCGCTTTAAAGTTTCGGTGTAATGTAAATCTCCTTGAAAGAAGCACTAAGGTAATCTCCATGCAAGAGCTATCCACTTTCCAATTCCAATACTTGTTTAAGAGGAAAAGCTGAAGGATAAACGTCAACACATGTACTATGAAAGGAGAAGGATTTTCCAAAAAATACAAAAAGAAAAAAGGTGGTAGA